AGATCTTTCCTTACAAGATAAGGGAAGATGGCCACCCCCCCCCTACAGTTCCCAAAACATATCAGTTACTCTGGATGCTCCACAAGATCAAGGTTGAGGGAAAACAAGACTTACAAAGATGTGGAGTTGTAGTTTTAAAAACTTTTCCCCCGAAAGCAGTTATCAACCTAATAGGTTTGAAAAGAAACCAAAGCATCTGGCATCAACTGCTGCATCACTTGTAGGCAAGTCTTTATTAGACTACATTACATTCCAACTCCACTAAATTTAGATTCTGTTTCTCCTGCACTAGATAAATATTAAATGTGGCATTTTTTAAAAATATTTTAAGTTAAACTCATGTGATTTTTTAAAAAAAAATAATGATGTTACCAACACAATAGTTTTAGAGTTATTCTATGTCCAAAGAAAAAAAAATTTGATTTCTTTTTTTATATGGAAAATAAAAATAACCAAAAACGCATTCTTGTCATTTTCAATTATTTTTTTTAACTTAGAAAGACTCATTTTAGGTGACTGAAAATAATTGGGCATATATATTACAAACTTTGCAGCAACTATACCAATTTCTACACTTTTATGTTATTTAGTTTAGAAAATATGGGTTCTCAAAAAGGACACTTTTTGAAAATCAGTTTTTTACAATTTTTTTTTTTTTAAATCGCAAAACTTTTTTATTTATTGAGATATTTTTATAAAATTTGTGCCATAGAGCTTACAATTAAAAGTTCTTTCATGGCATACTCATTACAGAAGTCTGCAATAAATAGTTAATTTCAGTTTCGACTACCTAATATAACGCAAACAACTCAAAAAATTAATATTTTATAAGTGTTTCACATTCGCTCCCTGTAAATAATTGAGTTCGTTTTTTGAGAAATCGTCGGAAATAGCTTAAATTAGTACTTCCGGTCAACGGAAATTACTCAAAATGTGACAGAAGGGCGAAAATTAGATCTTTTACTTACATGTGAAATTTCATTCATATAGTATAAACAGTACTCAGGTTATAGGCTTTTGAAAAATTCAAAGTAGAAAAAGTACCACTTCCGGTTATCGGAAATCGCTCAAATGTTGATACAGATCTACGATTTTGATAAAATACTTATATATGAAATTTCATCAACCTAGCTGTAACGGTACTCAAGTTATCGTGTTTACACACAGACAGACACACACACAGACAAGATTGCAAAACTATGTTTTTCCGTATCAGTGAGGTGTAATTACAATACTTTCTCTATACTTCGTATATACGAGAAAGTAAAAATTACATAACAATTCATGGGACATTAAGACAAGCGAAAAGGGGAAATAATCGATATCTTAATATAATTATGTATATGTCTACACATTTTATTACAAATATCAAAATAAATCAATAATTACTTAAGATTTAATAACGTAGCTTAACCTTATTCGTGTTTACACAAATATTTTGTCTACAAACAGAATTAAATATATTGTCATCATAGATGATAAAGTCTCACAGCATAATGAAAGTGCTTAAAATCAGAGTTGGTATAAAAGCCAGCTTTTCAATGTAATAGTAAAACATTCGGAATAATAGCTATCATATAATTAAAATATCGATCTTACATTTCAGATCATGCACTTTTTAATTAGCTACTGACTTTTTGTGTTCTTTAAAGATATTTTTTTTACCATAATGAGAAGGTATAGGTTAGATCACTGTATTGCTCACACACCTTTTACTGGTAATTGCAAAAACAATATTCACAGAGATTTACGTTTCAAAAGCTATGATTCTGGCGGCATGGTACTTTGGTACATCATTATGCGTTTTCAGAAATGTACTTAACATATCAGTTCGGGGCGGGTTGGGAGGGGGGGAGGAGGGATTCAACTTCATTTACCGCTGTCCGGTCACTTTAGGTCAATTATCCAACCCAGCGTATACCTAAGTGTGACATAATGTCGCTCTACACAATTGTGGTGGTGAGGTAGGGGTGGATAACCAACTCAGAGTGAACATAGCGTCAGTTTTTAGATGACTGTTCTAAACATTATACATATTCAATTACGCATGTCACAGTTCACTCATTCAAAAATAGTTTTAAATAAGTAGCGGATAATTAACTGTGCGATCAGTGTTAGTTTAAATTGAGTTGTTGTTTTTTAATACAAAATATAGCATTATTCAAATATAATATAGATCTAGATAACTAAAATAATAATTAATAGAAAGTTGATACCGTTTCATATAATTTGTAATCGTAATCAAACTGTCATAATACTACTATTTCATCATGATGACGTTGTTGACCTTGTCAAAATTTCCCCACCGCTACGCAGTTCGCCCATAAGTAAATTTAAATAGAGGTGCCACATTAGTTGTATTTGTTTCTGTATTGCAATTCAAACAAGTTAATTAAAAAAGTCTAGTGACATTTATGCGCAATTTCCTTATGTTATCTAAAAATAGCTCTGACGTATAATGTTGGGGTGCGTTCAAGCTAGAAGAACGATAGGTTTGTAGGTGTTTATGTAATTTTGAAAACTTTCTTCGGCAATATTGTTCTAAATTATGGCAGGAATCGATTGGTACATGTTTCAAGTCGCTAAGTGGTCTGGTTGCCGAGATATGGGCCAAAAACTGTTTTTTTTTTTTTGAGGTTTTTTGGCTTTTCCGGGAAATACATGAAAGAAACCCGGAATCCTTATGGCCTATGCTCATTCTCGTAACTTGCTTAACATAATTGCTTTTGGAACTAGTCATCGATATTGCTTCGTTGAGGAGGAGATACGACTTAAAGCCCGGACACACATTCATCCATCCATCCATTCCCAGAAATGACGAGTTAATAAACGCAATTCTCCAGAATGGAAATGGCGCTAAAAAATAAATTACACGATTTAAAATGTATATATAAAGTAATTATGCTTGAAGTTTTATATGTAATATTTTCTAATTCAATTATTCGTAAACAAATACAGTATACAGTTACCTTAAACTTAACACACTTCTTGCCAAGTGGTACTACCCGTAGAGGTTTTTTAAACATTGCAATGCATCGTAATGGTTATTTTTAGAATGACAAATTGATACAGCTGCTAATACGTGTTGTAAACGTTGACTCTACTAGTCTATTACTGTTATAATAAATTGCCGCATGAAATAAATCTTGTGATTTGCATTGATGTGCCGACCAAAGATAATTTTTTAATAAATATCAATGTTTAAAACTTTGAGTTTTAAAAGTTTCCAAAAAGGCGCCATTTTGCTAAAAATGGCCAGAGGGGGAGCGGCCGCTCCCCATGCGTACGCTACTGGCTGAGATCTAAGAGCAGCAATCCATGTTACCTACAAAGAGATCACGCTTTATGATGGGTTAGAAACAAGTGGGGGCTGGGTATCATGGAAGTGAGAAATTTTGAAGGGAGGGCAGTGGTACCGATTCCTCTTTGGTCTCCACCCTGCTGGACCATGATGATCATAAATTTCATAACATACCATCTCTGCTGGGCTGAGAACAGTAAGCCAATGTTACCTACAAAGAGATGAAGTTTTATGGTGGGCTTGAAACAGGTGGGGGCTGGGTATCATGTAGGTAAGACATTTTAAGGGGAAGCATCGGTATATTGTTTCTGATCACTTCCCTGCTGGACCATAAGGGTCATAAATTACATAACATGCTACACAGATAGGCTGAGATCTAAGAACAGCAGTGATTGTTACCTCTCAAGTAGATAGGCAGTTTTATTAGGGGTTTTGCAGTAGCGTAGCGAGGGGGGGGGGGGGGCGGGACGTATGTCCCCGGGCGCCGACCTTAGGTGGCACCAAAATAGGTTGGAAAAATAAATTGAAAGTTTGAGGTGGGGGGGGGGTGCAAATCGAAAAGTGTTTGTCCCCTGGCGCCGAGAAGGGTCGCTACGCCTCTGGGGTTTTGTAGTGGTTGACTTTTTGAGTAGTCTCACATTTGTTACTGTAGTGAAGATCTATTGCTAACTACTCTAGTTCTTGTATTGAACTAGAGAATCTAGAATCTATACTAATACTAACGAGATGTAAAATGTGTACACGTTCAGAGGCGTAGCAAAGGGGGGCTGGGCGGGTACATTTGTCCCAGGGAGCCGGGGACAAATTAAAAGCTCATTTACTGGTTTTATGTCAACACAAATATAAGCACCTTCAATTTCTAAGTTTTTTTTTACATATTGTACCTGTTCTGTGGGTGCGAGGCTCTTAACATATGATGAACACATTTTTAGACACGCCCAGCGCTGTGCAACAGCTGATTGTTTACTGGCGGTGTTTACCATCGTGACGGCGGACGTAGGTATCACGTGATTTAGGTCACGTGTTTGCAAGGTCTCTATATATTTTTTAAAAGTAATTCTTTTCTTTTTCAAGACTTAAAAGAAGGCAAATCTGTATCATATCCCAGTGTCAAAGATGAAGCGATTTGTTTAGTGTGGGTGAAAAACTTGAATTCTGTTGTACACTGGAGCAAGAGAACAAATCAAAGATGAAGAGATTTGTTTAGTGTGGGTGAAAAACTTGAATTCTGTTGTACACTGGAGCAAGAGAACAAATCAAAGATGAAGAGATTTGTTTAGTGTGGGTGAAAAACTTGAATTCTGTTGTACACTGGAGCAAGAGAACAAATCAAAGATGAAGAGATTTGTTTAGTGTGGGAGAAAAACTTGAATTCGTACACTGGAGCAAGAGAACAAATCAAAGATGAAAAGATTTGTTTAGTGTGGGAGAAAAACTTGAATTCTGTTGTACACTGGAGCAAGAGAACAAATCAAAGATGAAGAGATTTGTTTAGTGTGGGTGAAAAACTTGAATTCTGTTGTACAATGGAGCAAGAGAACAAAACGTGTACATTCAATGGACATCAAATATTGACTTGAAAGATCACAAATTATGGATTTTTACTTTACACTGCATACCTGCATAAATATGTAAACAATATGTATGGAAACAATATGAACACATCTGTATTGACAAACAGATTCACATAATCAATCAATGATAAAAACACATTAATATTTATTTTTATATATGGGACCAATTAGAAGTGAAGGTTGAATGTGATAGCCTTATTGATTTGATGTGTATCCTATACAAGGTATAGACTAATCAAACACAGAGAAATCAATCTATTTCTCTTCACATGAGATCCCAACACTAACACACAGTATCATGACATGTTACCCCAACCCACAGTATCATGACATGTTACCCCAACCCTGACCCACAGTATCATGACATGTTACCCCAACCCTGACCCACAGTATCATGACATGTTACCCCAACCCTGACCCACTGTATCATGACATGTTACCCCAACCCTGACCCACTGTATCATGACATGTTACCCCAACCCTGACCCACTGTATCATGACATCTTTAAATATCAGCAAGAAAAAAGCAATGAAGAGCTGTTTTAATGCCAGTTGACTTGAGTAAAATCTCCGGTGTGAACCCTTTGACGTGGCCTATCACCAAAAATATATCTATCCCTCTCTTGAATACTTTCAGATAGAGCTTGCATATTCCTTGGAATATCTGCAAACTCTGACCCCTCCTGAAAATAAAGCAGGTATTGAGTTGAAAATTGGATGAGATGGATGGTACACCTGTGTTACTGGATGAGATGGATGGTACACCTGTGTTACTGGATGAGATGGGTGCTACACATGTGTTACTGGATGAGATGGGTGCTACACATGTGTTACTGGATGAGATGGATGGTACACCTGTGTTACTGGATGAGATGGATGGTACACAAAATATATATATATAAGTCAAAATGACGATGTCAAATAATTTCAGAAAAACTTAAATGTTATTAGTCTGTATAATTTTTGTTTAAATGTTATATAGTATCTTGTTTAATTAGTTGTGTTGTGCAATATTTTGTTTAATTAGTAATGTATAATTCATTAATAAAGGTTGAAGTTAATGATTTAGGTAGAAAAAAAAATGTATGATAAAATAAATTGAATAGAAATTTGTTACAAACAGGAGGCAAGAGCTCAAGGGAAGTAAAAATTGAGCTTTTTTTTTTTAATGGTTACCTCAGTGTCGTCATCCAGGTAGGAAGAAATGCGCAGGTTTCGTGAATGAATTGGCATAGAAATGGGCACAGATGTTGACATAGCTGGCAACCTTAGACCTGCTACCTCATCAGTAGATTCTCCACTTGAATGCTGACTTTCTATAGTGGTGCTTACATGCTCCCCTAAAACAAGAAATGGTCATTTAATATCGACTCATTAGGGTTAGGTGTAATAAAATATCTACTCATTAGGGTTAGGTGTAATAAAATATCTACTCATTAGGGTTAGGTGTAATAAAATATCTACTCATTAGGGTTAGGTGTAATAAATTATCTACTCATTAGGGTTAGGTGTAATAAATTATCTATTCATTATATTAACAAGATTAAGTACTAGATTAGTTTGCCAGCGGTGAACTGTTGGTCACAGTTGGTTAGTTTCTTGCCTTAAAGTCAACTCTAGGATACGAAGGGACAGGGTGAGGGTAATTGACTTTTAGAGATCACAAGCTACTGATCCAATATGTTAATTCAAAACTAACTTCTGAAAGGTAAACTTTTTAATGCACTGAACATTGAAAAAATAAAATTAACGCTGCCTCAGCATTACGAAAATATGTCTGTTAATACACAAAACCACTATCAAGGCCTTAATGCTGTAAAAGATGGGAAACTCACCTGGACTATCTCCTTGAGGTTCTGAAGATTCAAACAAACTGTCTCTTACATCAACTCCTTTTTTTGTAATGGTTCCAACTCCTGAAAGTTGTACAAGAAAAGCTGAGCATACTATGACAGACAAAATAAGCCGGGAGAAAGGGTTTCTATCTTTACTATTTAAAATAAGCTGCCCACCATGCATGCTATCAACTGACTCAACAATTTAAGGGGATATGCGCATTGTTTCCTATTTTTTACAATTTAACATCTAAAGCCTTTTGAATACTTATCATGTTTGGCATATGAAAGTAAGTATTAAACAGCAAAAAAAAGGTTCAAAACAATTTTGGTTGTCATGGAAACCCAAAAAAAATCTCCGCCATTTTGAATTTTTTGGTACTTTTAAAAATGCTAAAGCTTTTTTATTTATGCAACTATAGCAATCAAATTTAAACTGCTTATATTTTAGTATATATTAAAACTTTTGTCTCGAAAACATTTTGAAATAGCTACTGTTAAGAATTTTACAAAGTCTAAAAAAATCGCACCATTTTTAGTGTTCAAAAGTTTCAAAATGTGCATATTAATTACCAAATGCTTTTTTTCTATGAAAGCTATCACAATTCCCTTGCATGAAGAACAATTACTGAAAATATGGTGGCGATTGTTTAATAAATAAAAAAGTAGTAGGCTTTATAGTGTTAAAAACCTTCGAACTGAGGAAAACAGCCAAAAGTAACGAAAAGTAGGTCACGAAAATACCATATCTGTGTAAACTGCAAAGCCGATTGTAAGCTTTGGGTGTTTCCGCGATGATGGAATTTAAGATTATCAAATAAAGGAGAAATCCAGCTTTCCAATGATGCTAAATATGATGACAGATATAAAACTTTTTATAGAGAGCGTGTAAGATTGGGAAAAATTGATTATTTTGTAATTAATAGGTGGTAAGGGTTAGGGTTAGGGTTAACACCTAAAAAACATTTTTCTCTTTAAAGTTATTATTTTCTTAATACAAAAATGGACAAAGTATCCAAAAGTGCAAGAAACTCACCATGACGAAAAACAAGAAATTTTGTGATTTTTTGCCGCGAATATCCCCTTAAATCAAGCTGCCCATCAAGCATGCTATCAACTGACTCACCTTGAGCAGGACTATCTTCACTATCATATTCAAGTTCATCCATTGAAAACACTGTGGAATAATTCAGGGAATAATAAACAAACACCTACCAAAGTCTACAGACAGACACATACCAAAGTCTACAGACAGACATCTACCAAAGTCTACAGACAGACACCTACCAAAGTCTACAGACAGACACCTACCAAAGTCTACAGACAGACACCTACCAAAGTCTACAGACAGACACCTACCAAAGTCTACAAACACCTACCAAAGTCTACAGACAGACACCTAGCAAAGTCTACAGACAAACACCTACCAAAGTCTACAGACAGACACCTACCAAAGTCTACAGACAGACACCTACCAAAGTCTACAGACAGACACCTACCAAAGTCTACAAACACCTACCAAAGTCTACAGACAGACACCTACCAAAGTCTACAGACAGACACCTACCAAAGTCTACAGACAGACACCTACCAAAGTCTACAAACACCTACCAAAGTCTACAGACAGACACCTACCAAAGTCTACAGACAGACACCTACCAAAGTCTACAAACACCTACCAAAGTCTACAGACAGACACCTACCAAAGTCTACAGACAGACACCTACCAAAGTCTACAGACAGACACCTACCAAAGTCTACAGACAAACACCTACCAAAGTCTACAGACACCTACCAAAGTCTACAGACAGACACCTACCAAAGTCTACAGACAGACACCTACCAAAGTCTACAGACAAACACCTACCAAAGTCTACAGACAGACACCTACCAAAGTCTACAGACAGACACCTACCAAAGTCTACAAACACCTACCAAAGTCTACAGACAGACACCTACCAAAGTCTACAGACAGACACCTACCAAAGTCTACAGACAGACACCTACCAAAGTCTACAGACAGACACCTACCAAAGTCTACAAACACCTACCAAAGTCTACAGACAGACACCTACCAAAGTCTACAGACAGACACCTACCAAAGTCTACAGACAGACACCTACCAAAGTCTACAGACAGACACCTACCAAAGTCTACAGACAAACACCTACCAAAGTCTACAAACACCTACCAAAGTCTACAGACAGACACCTACCAAAGTCTACAAACACCTACCAAAGTCTACAGACAGACACCTACCAAAGTCTACAAACACCTACCAAAGTCTACAGACAGACACCTACCAAAGTCTACAGACAGACACCTACCAAAGTCTACAGACAGACACCTACCAAAGTCTACAGACAGATACCTACCAAAGTCTACAGACAGACACCTACCAAAGTCTACAGACAGACACCTACCAAAGTCTACAAACACCTACCAAAGTCTACAGACAGACACCTAGCAAAGTCTACAGACAAACACCTACCAAAGTCTACAGACAAACACCTACCAAAGTCTACAGACAGACACCTACCAAAGTCTACAGACAGACACCTACCAAAGTCTACAAACACCTACCAAAGTCTACAGACAGACACCTACCAAAGTCTACAGACAGACACCTACCAAAGTCTACAGACAGACACCTACCAAAGTCTACAGACAGACACCTACCAAAGTCTACAGACAGACACCTACCAAAGTCTACAGACAAACACCTACCAAAGTCTACAGACAAACACCTACCAAAGTCTACAGACAGACACCTACCAAAGTCTACAAACACCTACCAAAGTCTACAGACAGACACCTACCAAAGTCTACAGACAAACACCTACCAAAGTCTACAGACAAACACCTACCAAAGTCTACAGACAGACACCTACCAAAGTCTACAGACAGACACCTACCAAAGTCTACAAACACCTACCAAAGTCTACAGACAGACACCTACCAAAGTCTACAGACAGACACCTACCAAAGTCTACAGACAGACACCTACCAAAGTCTACAAACACCTACCAAAGTCTACAGACAGACACCTACCAAAGTCTACAGACAGACACCTACCAAAGTCTACAGACAAACACCTACCAAAGTCTACAGACAGACACCTACCAAAGTCTACAAACACCTACCAAAGTCTACAGACAGACACCTACCAAAGTCTACAGACAAACACCTACCAAAGTCTACAGACAAACACCTACCAAAGTCTACAGACAGACATCTAGCAAAGTCTACAGACAGACACCTACCAAAGTCTACAGACAGGCACATACCAAAGTCTACAGACAGACACCTACCAAAGTCTACAGACAGACACCTACCAAAGTCTACAAACACCTACCAAAGTCTACAGACAGACACCTACCAAAGTCTACAGACAGACACCTACCAAAGTCTACAGACAGACACCTACCAAAGTCTACAGACAGACACCTACCAAAGTCTACAGACAGACACATACCAAAGTCTACAGACAGACACCTACCAAAGTCTACAGACAGACACCTACCAAAGTCTACAGACAGACACCTACCAAAGTCTACAGACAGACACCTACCAAAGTCTACAGACAGACACCTACCAAAGTCTACAGACAGACACATACCAAAGTCTACAAACACCTACCAATGTCTACAGACAGACACCTACCAAAGTCTACAGACAGACACCTACCAAAGTCTACAGACAGACACCTACCAAAGTCTACAGACAGACACCTACCAAAGTCTACAGACAGACACCTACCAAAGTCTACAGACAGACACCTACCAAACTCTACAAACACCTACCAAAGTCTACAGACAGACACCTACCAAAGTCTACAGACAGACACCTACCAAAGTCTACAGACAGACACCTACCAAAGTCTACAGACAGACACCTACCAAAGTCTACAGACAGACACCTACCAAAGTCTACAGACAGACACCTACCAAAGTCTACAAACACCTACCAAAGTCTACAGACAGACACCTACCAAAGTCTACAGACAGACACCTACCAAAGTCTACAGACAGACACCTACCAAAGTCTACAAACACCTACCAAAGTCTACAGACAGACACCTACCAAAGTCTACAAACACCTACCAAAGTCTACAGACAGACACCTACCAAAGTCTACAAACACCTACCAAAGTCTACAGACAGACACCTACCAAAGTCTACAGACAGACACCTACCAAAGTCTACAGACAGACACCTACCAAAGTCTACAAACACCTACCAAAGTCTACAGACAGACACCTACCAAAGTCTACAGACAGACACCTACCAAAGTCTACAGACAGACACCTACCAAAGTCTACAGACAGACACCTACCAAAGTCTACAAACACCTACCAAAGTCTACAGACAGACACCTACCAAAGTCTACAAACACCTACCAAAGTCTACAGACAGACACCTACCAAAGTCTACAAACACCTACCAAAGTCTACAGACACCTACCAAAGTCTACAGACAGACACCTACCAAAGTCTACAAACACCTACCAAAGTCTACAGACAGACACCTACCAAAGTCTACAAACACCTACCAAAGTCTACAGACAGACACCTACCAAAGTCTACAGACACCTACCAAAGTCTACAGACAGACACCTACCAAAGTCTACAAACACCTACCAAAGTCTACAGACAGACACCTACCAAAGTCTACAGACAGACACCTACCAAAGTCTACAGACAGACACCTACCAAAGTCTACAGACAGATACCTACCAAAGTCTACAGACAGACACCTACCAAAGTCTACAGACAGACACCTACCAAAGTCTACAAACACCTACCAAAGTCTACAGACAGACACCTACCAAAGTCTACAAACAGACACCTACCAAAGTCTACAGACAGACACCTACCAAAGTCTACAAACACCTACCAAAGTCTACAGACAGACACCTACCAAAGTCTACAGACAGACACCTACCAAAGTCTACAGACAGACACCTACCAAAGTCTACAGACAGACACCTACCAAAGTCTACAGACAGATACCTACCAAAGTCTACAGACAGACACCTACCAAAGTCTACAGACAGACACCTACCAAAGTCTACAAACACCTACCAAAGTCTACAGACAGACACCTACCAAAGTCTACAGACAGACACCTACCAAAGTCTACAGACAGACACCTACCAAAGTCTACAAACACCTACCAAAGTCTACAGACAGACACCTACCAAAGTCTACAGACAGACACCTACCAAAGTCTACAGACAGACACCTACCAAAGTCTACAGACAGACACCTACCAAAGTCTACAGACAGACACCTACCAAAGTCTACAAACACCTACCAAAGTCTACAGACAGACACCTACCAAAGTCTACAGACAGACACCTACCAAAGTCTACAAACACCTACCAAAGTCTACAGACAGACACCTACCAAAGTCTACAGACAAACACCTACCAAAGTCTACAGACAGACACCTACCAAAGTCTACAAACACCTACCAAAGTCTACAGACAGACACCTACCAAAGTCTACAAACACCTACCAAAGTCTACAGACAGACACCTACCAAAGTCTACAGACAGACACCTACCAAAGTCTACAAACACCTACCAAAGTCTACAGACACCTACCAAAGTCTACAAACACCTACCAAAGTCTACAGACAGACACCTAGCAAAGTCTACAGACAAACACCTACCAAAGTCTACAGACAGACACCTACCAAAGTCTACAGACAGACACCTACCAAAGTCTACAGACAGACACCTACCAAAGTCTACAAACACCTACCAAAGTCTACAGACAGACACCTACCAAAGTCTACAAACACCTACCAAAGTCTACAGACAGACACCTACCAAAGTCTACAGACAAACACCTACCAAAGTCTACAGACAGACACCTACCAAAGTCTACAGACAGACACCTAGCAAAGTCTACAGACAGACACCTACCAAAGTCTACAGACAGACACCTACCAAAGTCTACAGACAGACACCTACCAAAGTCTACAAACACCTACCAAAGTCTACAGACAGACACCTACCAAAGTCTACAGACAGACACCTACCAAAGTCTACAGACAGACACCTACCAAAGTCTACAGACAGACACCTACCAAAGTCTACAAACACCTACCAAAGTCTACAGACAGACACCTACCAAAGTCTACAAACACCTACCAAAGTCTACAGACAGAC